CAGGCGGCCGGCGCGCGGGTGGCAGCGCGTCCCCTCAGGGTGCTCCTCGGCCCATGGCGGCGCGGGGCGCTTCTCTAAAACCCCCTGGCGCCTTCTCCCACCGCGGCGTTGGGTACCAGCGCCCCGTCGGCTGGGCTCGGGCGCTGGCTTGTTCCCGGGTGCCCCCAGGCCCTTCTTTCCTCAGGCCCTGTGGCGCTCCAGGTGAGCCTGCGCAGCTGCCGGCCCCTCGGCCTCACCCTGCCCGCGCTAAAGCGAAGTTGAGCCGGCGGTGCCCAGCTGGTGTTCTGTCTGTGCTGCCTTAGCCTGAAAGTAGCGCTGGGCTGGTAGATCCTGAGGAAAGGCAGGCCAGTAAGTGCCTCTGAATTTGATAGTGTGACTGTGGGAGGCCTCCTGCAGTGCAGTAAAACCCCAGAGTGTGTTGCTGTAGCAGTTACAGCACTGGGGCATCTTACACTCTGCATAGAGCAGTTGATTTCAAAACAAGGAGGTATGTGGATTCAGTTATTTCCTAAAAGTGTTGGTTGTATTTAAAAAAAAAAAAAGCAGCCTAGATACGCTTACTTTAGTTATACTAGCGCTACGACATTGGAGGAAAAGCTTTAATGTGTACCATTGTGAGAAACTCTTCATTTTACATGGCAAGCAAAGCAAGGAAATAGAGCCTTTCCTTTATTCCTAGGCGTTCCTCATTGGTTTGTCTACAATTCTCCTACTTCATGTATTCATTCCTTTGTTCTGTTTTCATAGTCTAGTTAAAAATGCTGGTATATAAACCTGGGAAACTACCAGATACCAAGTCTGACTCCTACTAATTGAGTCAGTTGTGCAAGAAAGCAGAGTTAATTGAACAGTGATTGCATAATCAAGTAACTTGCATGGAACTATTGACTGGTTATCTTGTTGAAAAATTCAACAAATGAAAAGAAGTATGGTGATATTAAGCTTATTTGTCAGTGTAGCAAGCTAGTAATAAGCAGAGTACTTTGAAGTGGCTTGTTTTCTACGTATAAATTCTGGCCTGCTTGGCTTTTTGCAGCCTGCTCATAGAGATTCACTTTGAGCAATGATGTGTTCATGGTCTACTTGGCACACTTGTTTTTCATGGGTATGTCCTTGGGCTCATGCTAGACCAAGCTCAACAGTTCTTACTTCCCATATTCAAAAGCTCTTCCAGAAAGCAGATCTTGTCATTACGGTCCATAGGCATAACAGGGGTTAATAAATTTTTTTTTTTTTACTTCTGTGGTTTTATATGTTGTTTATTTTAAATTGCTTATTTTTAAACTTAACATTACTATTTCTTGTATGAAAATTATCTTTGATATGGTTAGAGTTTTTTCTCAAAGCCTGAAAGAAAAAAAATCCAACTTTTTGCTTACCAGAAGATGGTGCTGTGTAGTGTGGTTTGAAAAATCGGTATCAGAACAGGCATCTGATTACAATTCCTTTCATGTCTTGGGAGCCTGATATTAGACGTGCATTTCAGCAATGCTTTCTTTTGTTTAGCAGCTGATTAATATAGGCAGTATTTCTAATACCTTAACAGTAGAGCTAGTGGTCAGTTCCAAAGTCTATCTTTGGAACTGGAATTCCTCTGGGAATTCCTGCCTGTGGTCCCAGGAGTTTAAAGCTCTGAGCAATTTAGAACTGTGGAGTGGCTGAGGCTGGAGATGGTCTAGACCAACCCACATGCTCAAAACAGGGTCAGCTAGAGCAGGTTGCTCAGGACCATGTCTAGCTGGGATTTTGAATATCCTGTTCCAGTGTTCAATCACCTTCACAGGAAGAAAAGTGTTTTGTTGATGGTTAAACACTTTCCTGTATTTCAGCTTGTGGCCATTGCTTCATGTCCTGTCATTGGACACCACTGAGAAGAGTCTGGCTCTGTTGTCTTTACTCACCTCATCAGGTGTTTTTACACATTGATAATGTCCTCCTGAGCTCTCTCTTCTCTCTCTTCTCTCTCTTCTTCTCTCTTCTTCTCTCTTCTTCTCTCTTCTTCTCTCTTCTTCTCTCTTCTTCTCTCTTCTTCTCTCTTCTTCTCTCTTCTTCTCTCTTCTTCTCTCTTCTTCTCTCTCTTCAACAGTTGCAGCTTTCAACTTCTCCTTGACAGATGCTCCTGTCTCTTAATCATGTTGGCAGCTTTTCATTGGACTTGCTCCAGTCTCTCCTGTAGTGGAAAGTGCAGAACTGGACACAGCACTGCACCACTGGCGATGCCACATCCAAGTAGAGGGGAAGCAGCACCTCCCTTGACCTGCTGGTGAAGCTTTTTCTAACACAGCCCATGATGCTTTTGGCCGCCTTTGCCACAAGGGCACGTTGCATGTTGTGTCCTGTATATTTATCACTTATATTGCATATTTATCATTTTCTTGTAGCATACATCATCTAGGAAGTCTCAATGTTTAATCTGTTCATGCAGCCATCAGGATAACAGACCCCAAATACCCACTTCGAAGAGCCACAGAATAAGTCGGGTGTAAGAACTTATAACACTTTCTGATGAAATTTCAGGCTATTTTTGAAAAAAGGTAAAAATGGATGCCTGAATTATCTCCTAAAGTTAGGCACATAAACCAGTAGTTTGGTTTCTGAAAAGGTTTAATTGAGCTAATTAACATACCACCTGTATGTATTAGAAATCAAACTAGAGGGTCCAAATCTGTCTGTCACGTAGAAAGATACTTAGCTTGACTATCTGGAGGAGCGGTAGTAAAGTTAGATAATAAAGACATCAAATGTTTGCAACTGAGGGACCC